AGCTGTGGCACATTCCTGAAATAAAATGCTACACAACAATAAAAAACAATGAACCACACTGTACACAAACAAAAAAAACAAGTTTAGAAGACTGTATGTACATGACTTTATACATACAGGCATCTGTAAGCAGAAAGGTCCAGAATTAAGTACATGACTAGGGATAAACATGCAGAAATATTACATATAAAACTTCAAAGCAGGGGGCTGGGGAGACGGCTCAGCAGTTAAGGGCACTTGCTGCCTTTTCAGAGGTCCCAAGTTCAGTACTCAGCACCCATGTCAGGCAGCTCACCATCTATAACACCAGCTCCCAGGGACCAAGTGCCTCAGGCCTCCACACGTACCTGCACCCACATGCACACATACACACCTACGCCTAACTGAAAACTAATAAAAACAAATATTCTTTAAAAATGTAGAACAAGTACTAAGACTATCTAACACCGAATATAATAATGAGCTCAAAGGGAGAGGGTGAGAGTAGAAGAAAAATGAAATTGTAAAGAATCACTCAGGGCCTTCGGGATGCTGACAATGTTCTATTTCTAACTAATTATGTGTTGGTTACACGAGCAAGTTTTTGCTTTTAAAATGTTGCTCCAAAATCGGCTTTTTCCAAATGGAGGGTCACTGGGCCTATCAGCCACACTCCAGAGTAGGCCGCATGCCCAGGAATGGTTGGCCAACACACAGTAAATGCACACGGGGTGAGGGGGTTGTGGGCTTTTTGTCTCTTCTTGGTTGGTTGGTTGTTTTCCTTTTAGATGGTTCTGATTTTCAGCATCTGCTTTGTTTTGTTTTAGGAGAAAGAAAGATCCTGGGTAGTGTGAGAGGGGAAGTGGGAGTGATCTTGGAGAAGTGTAGGAGTGGGCAAAGATGACCAAAATACACTCTGTGGAAAAAAAAAATAGGTAAAATAAAATGCTGCTGCAAGCCTTCCTTTGCACGTAGTCTTTTAGCGCACACAGGCTGAAGTCTTCCGGGGACTTCTCAGAAGCAGGCCTACGAGGTAATTGCTGGCATTTTATTGCAAAAGTTAGGTAAACGGGAGCCTGGCGAGATAGCTTGGGAGGGGTGAGGAGGACAATGACAAGGAGTGGTAAAGGCTCTTGCTACCAAGCCCGAAGAGCTGCGTTCAATTCCCGGGACCCATGTGGTAGAAGCAGAATGCTGACACTTGAAAGTTGCCCTCTGACCTTCCACCACCTGGGCATCTGCATACCACACATACACACACACACACACACACACACACACACGTAATTTTTAAAAAATTTTTAATTAGGTAAATAACACCAAAAAAGATGTTTTCAAAAATGTAGAAAATACTACAGGAAAAACAACCTGATTTCTTCAACAAACTCATCACAAGAGGGGAGGAGGAGAGCGGGGATAAATTACAGACTAATACATATACTGCTATAAGGATCATTAATTAACCAACCTTTGGACTGGGGTATGGCTCAGTGGTTCATTTACCGTATAAGCAGGAGGACTCGGAGTTTGGATCCCCAGAACCCATGTAAGTGCTGAGCGGGCACAGGAACCCACTTACAGTGCCTACCTTGAAAACAAGAGGAAGGGGATCCCCAAAGCAAGCTGGCCGTATCAATTAAGTCTGGGCTTCACTAAGAGACCCTTCCTCATTGTGTAAGGTGGAAGAGTGATGAAAGATGATTCCGACATCAAGTTCATGTCTCCACATGCATGTGCCCTCACCCCTACAACACAACACAACACACACACACATACACACACACACAAAATGGAAAATTAAAAAATATAATCAACTAACTGCTGTAAGTACAGGACACAATCAAACAGACTTCAACACTGAGTGAATAATGGTGAAATTATTTTTAGCTGTGAAAATGGTATTGTGCTTTCAAAAAGACCTACCTTTTAATGATATATACAGATAACAAATATATTACAAGTGAAATGATATCTGAATTAGTTAAAAATCAACCAAGTCGAGGGGAGAGAGATACGGAAGGAGAGAAAAGATGAAGCCAAGACTCAGCAGTCATGAATCCTAGATCTCAGACACATATACACAATGCATTATGCTATTTTTTATTTTTGCATTCACTTGAACTTTACTGAAAAAGAAAGTATAAAGAGATAGAAAATGGGAAGGGAAAGAAGGAAGGTAGAGATCCAGATAAGTAAGTTTGTGCCAAAAATGCTTTGGCAAGTACAATTGTAAATTTTTTAAGTGCTGATCTCTAGACTTACATAATCACAATTTTTTTTTTTTTTTATAAAAAAAGTCATAAATTTATCATCTCCAGATGGGAAGAATACTTGTAATTTTTAGTCTTCTTTTGGCTTATCTGTGTTTTCTAACCATTTCTATGGGGAACAAATCAGAATCTTGATTCAAACAGTGTTGAAAAGGACATTAAAAGGATTTCCAAAGATACAAAGCCTCCTGCCTCTCTTTGATGCTGAGGTCTCCTCTTCTTAGCTGTTTAAGGACCACAACTTGCAAAGGGCTGTGGGGACCTCTCAAAACTGCCATTGATGCGCCACTTGGGAAAGCTATGGTATGTGGAAATGGAGCCTTTAGGTCATGTGTGTGCATGAGAGAGCTTGCTTTCTCTCCCTCCACCAGGGGAGCGCCTTCCTCAGAACCCAAAGCAGGCTCCCTGACCCAGTCCTCCAGCCTCCCAGGCTGTGAGGCGTAAACCTCTACTCTTCGGGGATTGTGACGCAACATAGGTTCACATAACTAAATGTGGGAGCTGCAGAAAACTTAGCAATGAAAGGTTTTCGGACACACAATGGCCAAAAATTAATCAAAAGCCAACACTCAATGAACCTGAGGGGTTTCTATCCCTCACCATGTTGCCCAGAGACTTCACTGAAGTCTTGATTCTGAACACACAACATACTCACTTAGCACTGTGCACAGCATCACCACTGCCTACGGATACCGCCCGAAACATGTGGGCTCAGATCTGAGACGGTTGTACTCTATGAACTGCAGTATCTGTGCTGTACAAATTTTTCTGCTCTTATAAAAACAATGGTTTGAAGTATAGAAAACAAAGGTTTTTTTTCAGTTTCCCTGCAACCATTCCTCAACATTATTAAATCAGTATATGCTTGGATTGTATTAGACTACTTGATCTTAAAAACTGCTGTTGGACTTGCTTACTTGAACTTCTTTTAGATGGGGGCTGGGTGTTGTAGTTCTGAAGACACACTTCTCTATTACAGGACCTGGATTTGGGTTCCAACAACCTCATAGGGTGGCTCACAACCACCTACAACTACAGTTCCTGAGGATCACCAGCCCCTTCTGTCCTCCAAGGGCATCTGCAGGAATGTGGTGCACATAAGCTCACACAGGCATCCACAGAAATACAAATAAGTAAGTGCATCTTTTAAAAGCACAAATACACTTGGAAAGGGACAGGGAGGAGATGCTGGAGGGAGGGTGGGACTGGGAGGGAATGAGAGAGGGGGCTACAGCTGGGATACAAAGTAAATAACCTGTGATTAACATAAAATATAAAAATTATAAAATAAAAAAGCACACAAATACAAAAATTACTAAGTTAATTTTGTCTTGGGATTAGGATATGATAAAATGGCCCTAAACATACCTCTGCCATTTTTTCCTATGTGTTTATGTGAGGCAGTGTTTTCAGCACTGATGATTATAAAATCAAAATATTGATCACCTCTGAAAAACACTGATGGTGTTCTGCATTCTACAGCATCAAGGAGCCAGCCATGATTGAATTATTTGTGTGAAAATAAAGAACTGCATCCATCACATTAGAATGCAAATATGGTTTAACCTTTTAATAAATGGTAAAATTATGTGGACCCCCGAAAGAACTACTGTAAAATAAATTTATATTTATTATAAGTGTTTGGTTTCTATGCCTACTTCATAAACCAGTCATATAAACATTTCTTGGGCTAAAAAGAAGTCACAAATAAAAAAATGTTCAGAAGGCCTGGTTTAAATCACCCATAATAGACAGCACCATTAACAGCAGCCAGGCGACCATGGCAAGGGGACCCTTAGCACATTCTCTTAAAAGCTACTTATCTCTTCTCCCAGAAAAAAAAAAAAAAAAAAATGTATATTCAGACAGATCTGTCTGAATCAAGAAACCCTGAGAGCTCTAAAGAGCCACAGACTTTCTGTGGGTTTAGCAGTTAGAATAAATGACAGATGGCATTCAGTACATACTTTTCTGCATGTCAAGTATGGCTCTGCGGTTAACAGACTCCATAAAATCCACTCTTCCTTGACACCCAGGGGCTAATGTATGTGCACATCATCCCTGTTTTACGGATGAGGACAAGGAAGATAGAGAGGAAAACTGCAATCTCATGGCCAGGTTGGAAAAGTCTTTGAGAGTCAGGGCCAGCGTGGGAACTCGGGCAGCCAGGTTCTTCCCTAGCAAAATGTGAAGCCACTCTCAAAGTTTAAGTTAAATATGACAGCCAAATACGTCACTCCCTAGAGAAGATAACCTTAAATCCAACAACTTTATGGGTTTTCCATGTGCCAGATGGAACCAAGCACTATAACCAAGCACACAGGAACGACCAACTCCCAAAATAACACTGGCAGACTCTCACCTATCCAGGTGACCGGGTACAAGTAGGAGTCAATCTTCCTTTACATCTAAGTAGGATACACCAGAAGTTAGAGCAATGGTCCCTACATCACAGCTGACCTCTTCACGACGAGAACCTTATTTAGCACGTCATGGTCTAGTTCAATACTTCAGTGTTTAGCCCTAAAATCCATCCATGAAGCAAAATAAGCCAACATTCAGGACACTTGCCTTCAGCTGTCTCTTTTGCTTTCAGGTGAGACAGCATGATGAACCCACACTCCCAAGAGTTTGCACCCGAGTCTCAGCAGCACAATAAACAGGATGGTCCACGCGTACTGAAGGCAACAGTAAACATGGGAGACCTCACCACACACACCAGGAAGACGAACATCCCCCCCCGGCACTCACCGTTTCACAGTTCAAGCATCGGGTTTCATTGGTGAGTGTTCCCTGAAAAATCTCATGGACCCAGGTGAGTTCTGGCTTATTGTTCTCTGCTGGTTCATTCATGTTGCCATTTTTTAATTTCCCGTTTTGTTTTTCCTGTTTCTTCTCTTCCTGCAGGATGTCCGCAATAGTGTTTAGCAAATAATTTAAAAATTCATGCGCATCCTGCTGCATGTAGTTATCAAAGAGATCTGGAAAGGAGAAGACCATCATTTCACACGCTGCATCCTGAAGAGCGAACAGTGGGCAGGAGCGACACGTAAATATATCTCATCTCTACTATGCAATTACAACAAGTAACTTTCCAAAGAACTGTTCCTTTCTATGTCCTCCCATCCAGCAAGAACATGTATATAATAATGAATCAAAGTTTAATTCATTCTAAAAGAACCAAAAATTATTAGACAAGAACCTTGATTAAATATCTATTGGCTTTGCATGTATGCATGCAGTGTGCATGTTGAGGGAGAGGGACACACATCTGTGAGCAGGTGCACATTTGTGTGTGTGTGTAAGTATGAAGAGGGCCAAGGATGACAGTGGCATCTTCCTCAATCACTCTCCACTTTATCTATTAAGAAAAGGTCTCTTGCTAGCTCTGGCACTTACTTTATGTGGCTGGTCTAGCTAGCCAGCTTACTCTGCCCATTGGGATTACAGGCAGGCTACCACGCTGGCCCAGCTTTTTATGGGAGTGTTGAGGATGTGAACTCTAGTCCTCTTACTTGCTACGTCCGGTTGATATTAATTCTTGATCTGATGTGACCCCCAGTGACTAATGAGTCCTTGAGTCATCTTGCCCTAGCAACTGGATTCTCTTCCTGAGAGTCATATCAAACCTAAGAGCAGCCCGGAAGAATCTTATCTGCAAGATGAAAGAGACATGTGGGGCATATGTGAACAGGTATGTTTCTCATAGTGCTCCTAAAACAATCGCAAATACTCTAAGTATACTGCTGACCCCACTGCTGGGCAAGCAAGCAGCTGGAAGACGCCTGTTATTCATGATCTCACAACTGCACTGAGACGGTTGGCTTCCTTCTCCATTCAAGTCACGTTTGTTCTAGCATACATAAAATATTACAACTTCTAGAAACAGCCATCAAATTAAACAAGTCATTGTAAAACAAACGCCAGGTTAACCGAATATTTATTGGAGCAGGTGGCATCCAGGGTAGATACAAGTTACCACATGAGATATTCCCATAATCAGAAAAATTAACAAGCTAAAACTTCTGGAACAGGCAACATATTTCTATCACCATTTCCCTTCAAAAAACAAATGCTACCGACTAGATATCTTGACACTGATATATCATCTCTGGAGTCATGACCATGGCAAAACACCTGGCCAAATAAACTCTGAGGAGGGACTGTTTGGACTCACAGTTCCAGAGGGATTGGTCCTTGATTGCTCAGCCCCAGACACTGGAAAGACACACCCCACCAACGGAGTGTGGTAGAAGCCATCCACCTCACGGTGTACAGGAGACACAGAATGTGAGAGGGACTAGGAGCCAGGTGTCACCTTCCAAGGCCCTGTGATCTACTTTCTAGCTAAGTCCTATAGCTTCTCTAGTTTCCATGGCCTCCCCAAACAGTACCACCCCAAAAGCCAAGAATTAACAACTACAGACCGAACACACACGAGCCTATGGGAAATGTCACATATCCACACTACAGCACTCATGTCCTGTTTAATACACCAGAGCCTCCAAGGAGGTAGTGTGTGCTTGCTTCGTTCTCAGTTCATAAGGAGTACTATGCCACTCAGTGATTACATCAACATGTTTAACCCTAGGACTACAGCACTCAAAAATCTGCCTTGAACAAGTGTTTTTTCTTTTACAATGATCCTTTGTCAGAATGCAACACGTTATAAAAAGAAAAGAGAAAGAAGGAAGGAAGGAAGGAAGGAAGGAAGGAGGGAGGGAGGGAGGGAGGGAGGGAGGGAGGGAGGGAGGGAAAGAAATAATTCTAAATGGGATACCCAATATCAGTTTTTAAATTTATATTGTTTTTTGTTTCATGTCTAATGGGAAAAGAAGAAATGTCTTCTTCCGGGTGGTGGGGGTCTACTCCTTTAGTCCCAGCACTCAGGAGGCAGAGGCAGACAGGTCTCTGTGGGATAGGGGCCAGCCTAGTCTACAGACAGAGTTCAAGGACAGCCAGAGCTATAAAGAGAAACCCTAGTTTTTGTTATTTCTTTTCTTTCTTCTCTCCCTTTTCAAATTTAATTAATTTACCCATTTAATTATTATATTTCATTTAACAAGGTTTAACCGGGAGCTCTAGGTGGGCTGGAACTCACAGTGATCTGTGTCTATCTCCTGAGTATTAGGATTAAAGTTATATACTATCGATCATACCTGCTCTCTCTCTCTCTCTCTCTCTCTCTCTCTCTCTCTCTCTCTCAATCTCCGTCTCTCTCCCTAAGTTTTCTTTTTCACTGTTATTTGTGTGTGTATGTGTGTGTGTGTCTATGTAAGTGTATGTAATGTGTAGGGTAACAGATCCTCTGGAACTGGAGTTAGAGTGGCTCTGAGCCACTCAACATGAGTCCTGGGAACTGAACTCAGGTCCTCTGAAAGGGGACAGTGCAACTTTCAAAGTGCCCACTCTTAGCCACTGAGCCATCTCTCCAGTCCCTGAAATGTCTTTTCTTAAGCACCACTGTAGTTAACCATGCTTACTTTCTCTTTGAAAAAGTTAAGCAAGCTTTTCATCTTAAGGCTGCCCAGAACCACTGCTTTTCCCATGTCAGAGCCTGGGCCCACGACGGCCACATCACTCACCATTCTCCTTCCTCAGCCTTGAAATGAACTTCTTTGGTGGGATGACGCCAACCTTCTTCTTCTGCGTGGCAATGCTGTGGAAAAGGTCTGCCAGGCACGTCAGCAGGTTTTCCTTCTTCTTTTGCTGGGCCTTGTATGCCAAAACATTCTCCCGGAATGGCCGGCAGAAGTACAATGCCTGAAGCACGGAGTTACAGTAGCATGTGTTTCCAAACTGCCAAAGCATAAGAGGGGTGGTGGAATCATTGTCTGGGAGAAGCCACCTCTGAACAGGGGAGGAGACGGGGATGCCAGGATCCAGGAACCTGCCAACCCCTCCATTCCCATATCAGAGGCCAACGTGCCAAATGAGATAACAGCGGAGCAGATCGACGAGGACAGGAACATAAGGACACACGAGTGGTCCTCAACCTTCCTAATGCTGCAACCCTTTAATACACTTAATCATGTTACGGTGACCCCAGCCATAGTTATTTTCATTGGTACTTTATAACTATAATCTTGCTACTATCGTGAATCATAATGTGTATATCTGCAATTTCTGATGGTCTTAGGAGACCCTCTGTAAAAGGGTAGTTTGACTCCCAGAGGGGTCACAACCCACAGGTTGAGAACCACTGGGGTACAAGGTTGTCATCTTCCCTGCTCCCGCTTAGCTGCAGTTTTGCTTGCCATGCTTTCAGTTATGAGGACTCAACCACAGTCTGTGAGCATTAAATGGAAAATTACAGAAATAAATTATTGATAATTTTCTATTGTGTGCCATTCTGAGTCGTGTCATGGAATCTCACACCATCCTACACCATCCTGCCTGGGATGTGAATCATCTTTTAGTCCAGTGGACCCACAGAGTATATGATATCCACCCACCAGTCACTTAGTAGACATCTTGGGTATCACAAGTAACCTTTATATTACTTAACAATGGCCCCAACTTAGTATTAACAAACAAACTAATACTGACAATTTACTGTAATTGTTCTATTTTATTAGAACATTATTTAACCTCTTGTGCCTCATATATAAATTAAACTTTATCACCAGTGTATACATACAGAAAAAGCATAGTCTATATAAAGTTTGGTACTATCCAGTTTTAGGCATCCCGTGGGGGGTCCTGGAATACATCCCCCACACACAAGGGAAGACTACTAATCCTAGTGCTTTTTGATCCATCAAAGTCTATAAACTTACAATAAACACTCTGACTGGGAATGTAGTAAGATCTGGTGCTCAGAAAAAAACAAAAACAAAAACAAAAAAACCTTACATAGCATGGGGACTCAGAAAAGCAGCTGGCTACAGAAAAGGCACAATGCGATATTTTAAAAGCCCCTATGCTTGTACGTGTGGTTATCACATTTGTGATCCCAGCTCTTGGGAGGCCGAGGCAAGGGGACCACTGCAAGCTGGAAGCCAGCCTCTATCACCCAATGATTTCAGTGGGGCAGCTTGAAGTCATAGAGGCAGCTTGAACTCATAGCTTGAACGACAGAAGGAGAGCCTGTTTCACAAAAACACCTCCTGCGTCTGAAAATCAAAGCCCAAATCAAAAAGAAACTCAGGGGACTAGGGATATAGCTCAAGGGGAGATATAAGTACATGTATGTATGTATGTGTGCGTGAATACATACATATATAGCCACATGTGTCGGTATACATATGCCTACATACATATATTATACAATGGGCTGGGGGTATTGTTTAAGCAGTTAAGAACTGCTTGCTCTACCAAGGCCTTTCTGTCACTGCCCCACAGTGTACAGTTTCAATGACTCCAAGGCAACGGAGTAAGAAGTGTCTCCGTAGGCCACCTTCCCTTCTATCCATCTCTTACCTTCTAAATTACCCTGCCTCATGTTTGTTCCAAGGTGGCAATTGTCCCAATATGGTATCATACACGTCCCCAGCCCCCCTATAATCAGATTAGGGCCCACACAGCAATACTTTATCCCTCTCTAGGTCAGCGACACTGAGATTTTGACGGTGAAAGAAAAGTCATTATCCCACTGGTTTCTAAGTGACTGGAAGCCCAGCTCTGTGGGAGAACCCAGCTGAGCCCTGCACTTTAAAGCTATCCCCACTCAGTAAATAAACAGGAAAGAATTCCAAAGAAATAAGACTGAGAGCCCAGATTACAAAGTGTCATAGAAGGGCAAATGAAGCATGGCTGTTTTCTCTGAATGGCCTCATGGCTCGGACACCTTGCGTTCCTATGTGTTCTAATGTTCCTTGACACAATCGTGTAACAGGTGACAAACTCTTTCACATAGAGGCTGGCACCTTCATAAATTACCAGTCAAGGAATCATTAATGAAGCTATTAATAAATACAGCTTCCATAATTCTTCTGCTGTGTAGGCAGCAGCCTTAATTCTCCCTTGTCTGCATTTGTATTTTCCTTAGTCGGGAAAGAATTCCCATGAATTGAATAACTCTCTTCTGAGAGTTAAGTGGAGGCCCATGCACAGTGGCTATAATAAACTGTATTAAAATTCGAAGGCTGGGTTTTACCAATACAAAACCCTATATTCCCAGGGCCTTGCATTGCCTTTCTCTGCCCAGTCTTCTCCCTGCTTCTCAGCATCTTTTATCCAGATACCCTTCAGTCACAACTGGCCTGATCTAGTAATCAACTCTGGAGAAACAAAAGGAATAGCTTCCAAGTGTCTAGACCATGCCCCAGCCTCTCATCAGGGCCTTACCTGGGGGCTCTCATTCCTCTTTCGCTGTGGTTCAAGAGCAGATGTGGAGACGGAGGACCAGAAAAGCCAAGTTCCTCGCCACAGATCACACCACCAGTTAAGCAGTGCAGGGTAGATCAAACATAGCTCTTTCCTTTATACCCAAGGTAGCATTTGCTTGCAAAGAATGTGTCCAACTTCTCCAAGCACACTTCACAAATGGATACAGCAGAGTGACAGAGCAGCTACCCCAGAAATCTATGTGTCTGTAAGTTAATATGCTCATCACCTAAAAACATCTATTCTATAAAGAGGATACAGTGAAGTAGAATGCCAACAGGGGTGATGGGCAATACTATCTTACCATGTGGCAGTTACCACCTTACCCAGGAAGCAGGGCATTAAGAAAAGCCAGATACTAGGAGGTTCTTGCCTAGCACAAAGAAAACCAGTGTTATGTAATAGTTTCCTCCAAGATTGAAATCCTCCATACTGCAGAGAAACTCCTTACATAGGAGTTTAGGAAAGTAAGTAACTCAAAATATTCAGGAAGTCCCTGAAACTGACCAGATTCACTAGGCCCCTCCCTTATCAGAGTAAGCAGAGCTAAACTTCAAAGAAGACTCTCAGAAGAATAAAAGCTGCTAAGAATAAAAGCTGCTAAGAAGACTCTGTGACAAAGTCAGTGCCTGGAAGAAGCAGAAACCAGACAAGCTGCTTGGAGAAGGTTTAGACCAGAGTTACCTGGAAAGGACACTCTCCAACCTGTTGTGCTGCCTGCTGTGCTGTGCTCCAGTTTCCCCAGCGTTTGTGAGCTGTCACCCATGTTGGGGTGGGCCTTGGTGATACAGCTGACTTTGAGTCATTTTTGCTGCTGTAAGTAATCTATACACCTATAGTCATGTAAGTAACCCCAATAAAACTCATTGGTTCACCAAATTGGACTTTGGTGGTATCTGTAATTTGGTCATTCATAAGCTCGCTATCTGGTGTGAGTATATGTCTGTGTTGCATCTCCCTAGAAAATGTTCTCTAACACAACAATACGGCCAAGTGATTCCAGGATATATGACTCTTGGTTCTTGATTCACATTCCACCCCTACCTCAAGTGGAAAGTCTACTTACATTATTATTGATCTCTAATATTGAGAGGACCTGGCTAAATAAGACTGACCGACTTCTTAGCAGGCTTCATTTTCTTGCTGACATAGAACAGGCCTGAGTTTTCCACTCTTCAGAAAAAGAAACTTCAGTTGCAAGAAAACAAAACAAAACAAAACAAAACAAAAAACCAGAAATGGGCTGGGCCAGGACATTTGGCCTGGAGAGGAGAGATAAGGTTGCTTAGCTACTGTTCTGAGAAGCCCCTAAGCCCTCATCAGAGTCATGGAGCCTTCATAGCACAAACCAAGCCCCAATTGAAGTCATGTAGCCTCCATAGGCACCCATCAGTTTGGGCAGGTTTGAACCAGTTTAGAGAGCCTCCAGCCCCTAATCAAGCCCTAACCAGCCCTAGCCAATCCTCGGTGCACTCATGCTTTTGACCTGCACCAATCAAAATAAAGATGACCTAACTGTCATGGAAATTCCCTAGTTGACCTTAAACAGAGCTTGTGTGTTCATCTGAAGGTCGCCGCCATTCTGCCTGGGTGGTGATCCTTGCCTGCTGGACTTCTGTAGAATTTCTTGCATGCATGTTAGAGTCTGGGATCACTCTTTCAGCTATATTATTAGCCAAGTACAGATAACAAGCTTAGTAACTCTTAAAACTCAAGTTGTACTGGCCCATAACAAAACAAAGACTGAACCGTTCATGCTCTAAGGACAGGAGGACAAATCAAAGCAGGCTTGGCCACAAAGGCTAATGAAGTCACTGTGAAAGTGACAGATACAAAGGGAATCCCTCAAGGCATGCAGGGAAGGGGATGTGAATTTCATCAATAATGTAGTAATTAAGTCCTTTGCTGGGGACAACCATTAGTACATTTTTTAAAGTAGATTAAAAAGTCCTTCTCCGCCATTTGCTTCTGCTATACAGACAGTTATTTAAAAATGAGTAGCGCCTTGGCTATGGAGAGTTGGGTATAGTTATACACACCTGTGATTCCAGTGCTCTGGCAGAAGCAGAAGGATCACAGAAAAAAAAAAAAAAAAAAAAAAAAAAAGGCCATCCAGGTCTACATAATGAGTTCAGTACCAACCTAGCTAGATCTTGTCTCCCAGAACAAAACCAAAAGTCAGCAGAGTTACATCAAATACCCTAAAATGTTTGAAACAATAAATACTTACATTGACCAATCCGAAGTAGTGTTCATTGATAGGAAACTGCTCTGGACCAATGTCTTTTTCCAGAGCAGAGGCATTGGTGCCCTACAAGAAAACATAACAAAAGTTCTGTGGCGTGAAAACAGATGGGGAAGTGAGATGATGTGCGCTCGCTCACTCCTGAAACAAGTACCCCTTGTCAACAGCACACGAGGGATGTGAACCAGGAGACTCGTTAGCAATGCCATCACTGTACTTCTCACCCAACTAACTGGGGTGGTTTCAGGGACCTCCTGCACTGTGTGGTTGCAGGCACCTCCCATTCGGAAAGGATGCTTGAGACAGCCACGTAAATGAGAAGATGGTCTTCTGAATAAAACATTTCACACAGCCGCAGCAGCTTTCAGACACAGCACCTGGAAGACGGGACCACCTACAAAGGCAATGTCTTCATTCTGCTAAGGATTTACTGTTCACTCTCTGAGCCAAGCACTAGTCTCTAGGTCCAGGCATTAATGAGAATGGTGGCAAAACAGACATACATGTCTACTCTCATGGAGTTCCCATGGTCACACATGAAGGGAGCCTGAGCCATGAAGCAAGTCTATTAGACAATACACTAGGAGGTGATGAGCACAACGAAGAAAAGGAAGCTGGGAGGTAGGCTGGGGAGAGCGGGGATGGCTCAGGGGCATGCACACAGTAAAGGGTTAGGCTCACAAATGTACCTTTACACGGAGCACTCAGGAAAGGCTCTATGTCCAGAGAATGTTGCAGATAATGAACGGATCCAGTGTGGAACCCGACAGCTGTCAGATGCATCAAAGTGCTAAGCCTGGTGCTGCTGCAGCATGGTAGGAGGAACAGCCCGTGCCCTCTGTGTGCCAGGGACCGAGCCTCGTGATGCTCGTAAGAACTAAGAACTGCCGGTGATGACTATTCTCAGTGTCTGCATCTAGAATCAACTTAAAATCCAAGAGGCTGGGTCCACCTGTGAGGGGTTTTTCTTAATTTAATCATTTGCAGTGGGAAAACCCAGTTTTAATCTGGATCTTCTGGGATGGGAAGAACCCTCTTTAATCCAGATCTTTTAAAAATTAATTGTTTTATTCACTTTACATCCTGGTTGTAGCCCTATCCCTCCTCCCCTTCCAGTCCCACCTTCCCTTTCTCTCCCTTCCCCCCTTACCTCTTCCTCAGAAAAAGGGAGCTCCCTTTCCCATCCACCCCAGCTCATTAAGCTGCATAATGACTGAGCGCTCTCTTCCTCTGTGGCCTGGTAAGGCAGTCCTGCCAGAATCAAAAAGCTGGCAAGTGAGTCTGTGTCCGCTGCAGTCCCCACTTCCCTCACTAGAGGACCCACATGAAGCCTAAGCTGTCCATCCGCTATATCTTTGTAGTGGGTTTAGGTCCTGTTCATGTAGCGGGTTTGGGTCCTTGATTGATGCTTCTGTCTCAGCAAGCCCCTCTGGGCCCTGTAATCAGACCTTTTTAAGATGTAAAGATCCACCTTTAATCTGAGCCACAACTTCTGCTGACAGCCTATCTGAAGGGCATGGAGGAAGGAAGCTCACTCTCTTGCCTGCTTGCTCTCCCATTCCTTGGCAAGTCCATTCCTTCACAGGCATCAGAGCCTACTTCTGGCAGCTGAGATAACTGGACTGAACAACTACTGGATTCTTAAGCCTTCTATTGGTAGACAGCCACGGTTGGAACAGGTGGCCCACAGTCTGTGAGCTGTTCTAATGAAGTCCAAAGGCTGAACTGGGGAGTCAGGTTCAATTGTATCCAAAGGTAGCACAGGGCCTCTCCATCAAAACAATGATGAAACCCTTACCTAGGACCAGCCATAGGGGACGGATGGTCATTTCTCCCTAAGATCTGAATGAGTTGGCTGTAAGTAAAAAACAAAAACAAACAAAAAAAAACCTCACTCCAGTCAGGTACAGTCATCATTGACCATGGGGAGCAGGTTCCAGGTCCCTGCAAAGTCATTCAGATCTTTTACATAATTGGTATAGTGGTTGATTATAACCTATACACTTTCCTACATTACTTAAAATACCTGGTATAATACGAATGTTATGTAAATCGTTGGTACAGTACATTGTTTGGAGAATAACGACAAAGTCTGAGTGCTTGGTACAGATGAGATGTTTAAAATGTTTCTGATCTGCACTTGAGTATGGCCCGCGCATGGAGAGGGAGCAGTGGGCGGGATCAGAGTCCCCTTGCGGGTGCTGTTTCCCCACCATCTGTAGCCTTCAACTTCTCAGGCTATCATGGAAGACTCAGCCCGTTATGAAACAAACTGCCCATATTTTTTTCCGAATATACATGCAGACAAGCATTCAGTACTTGAGGACAAGAAAGGTCAGACAACACCTACTAGACTCATCAAAATTAACCCAGTTCTAGAGACCTTACAAATACAGACAGCATTTGAGTCGGACAATTGTGGCACATGCCTATAGTCCTGGGACTCAGGAGGCGGAGGCAGAGGCAGAGGCAGAGGCAGAGGCAGGTGAATCTCTATGAGTTCAAGACTGCCTAATATACAGAGTGAGTTCCTAGACAGCCAAGAATACACAAAGAAGCCCTGACTTAAATAAATCCAAAAAGAAGAAAAAGGTAGGAAGGAAGGAAGGAAGGGAGGGAGGGAGGGAGGGAGGGAGGGAGGGAGGGAGGGAGGGTATTCCAACACTATAGAGTGCAACTGCTCCTCATACCACAAAGGCTATTTTCAACTTTTTTGGAACCCGTGAAACATTAGCAACCTCCTTATGCCTTCCTAGCTTAACAGAAAAAAAATTACACCTACAGTCAAGGACCCCTTAATTGACTGCTTGTAAGCCTATGTGCCTCTCTATAGTAAACGATGCTTCCACAATCTAAGCATCTCTCCTTCTCAGCTCCATCACATACACTCAACACCCTTCAGCATCCCCCATGCCTCGCACACTCCCTCCTCTCTTCCCACAGTTGCCACCTCACTCTTACGTCTCCTTCAGAGTTAACATCTTGAACTGTTTCTGCTGAAACACCTATGGATCAGAGGATTCCTCAGGTTGGTGAAGCAAGGAGAGGGAAGGAAGATTATGGTAGAGCTCTATGGTGGAAGTTGAGTGATAGGTTTTGAGGGGTTAGTTATGCATCTCTTAATATCATGAGGACATGTTCCAAGAAATACGTTACTTAGGCCACTTTATTATTAACGGACATCATAGAGATTATACACAGAAGCCTGCAAGGTGGAGCTTGCCACCTCCCCAGGCTATGTGAGAAGCATATTGCATGTATGTATTTATATAGGGAACAACTCATTGCTTCTTGGGGCAGGACAAAGGAAACAGAAGATCAAAGCAAGTGCAAGAGGAAAAGGTGAAATCAAAAGGCACATTAAAAAAGCAGCAATGGCTCAGTGGTTATGAGCACCTATTGCTCTTTCAAAGGACACAGGTCCAGTTCCCAGCACCCATACAGCGGTTCACAATCATCAACAACTCCAGTTCCAGGGATCTGAAGCCTGCTTCTGGCCTCCTGCACCCACATAAAGCACGTAAACCCACTCAAGTGCACGTGCATACACATAAAAGTAAACCCGTATCGTTAAGGAGACACCTCAGCAGGAGCTCTTATAAGGCTGTTTCTGTTAAACTACAGGAAACTTTTTATAAATGGACTGCATTCTGAAATAGCCCAAAGCACAGTAAAGCAAATACATAAGGCAGCCACTTAGCTGTTTATTGTCTTTACCAATTCTTCCGTGCCCGGCATAATAGTGTGCGCTGTACTTTCATACAACTGGCAATAGGTTTATGTCACCACAAAGACTCAGGCTGTGTCACAGTGAGGAACAGGTCACACTATCCTGTTACAGCTATGGCGTGGCTTGGGATACCATAATGCAACAGTGCCCTCCGAGGTGAAACGTTCCTTCCGGAAGAACGTGGAGAGAGGCTCATGAGACTCAGGGGTAAACAACTTCACCTGCCTGGGGAGGCTGAAGCTTGCACTTCATGAGGGCCCCATGAACTCCAGGGCTACAAAAGCGGAAAACAGTGTCTGCGGGAGGAGACTGTGACCAGTCTGACTGCAGAGACGAGGTTCTTGGACCTGTTGAGCTGGCTGCTAGTTATGCAGACAGCTTCAGGGTTGCAGCTCCCACGAGTCCTCGCCCATTCCCAGATGCAGCTGATTATTAGTCATACTTGCTTCTGTAACCAACCCTCACCCAATAAAAATTCATTGCTTCACCAAGTTAGACTTCTTTACAATCTTTACTTTGGTTTGCTTTGGGGTCCTTTCTGGGTGAAAAAAAAAAAAAAAAAACCATACACACAGATATACGCCCCCCCCCCCGTGTGTGTGTGTGTGTGTGTGTGTGTGTGTGTGTGTGTGTGTGTGTGTAGCTCCACAGAAGGAGTACTTGTAGACAGCTGGCTTTCCCCAGAGGTGGCCTGAGGCCTTCCCATGCCTCTCTCTCAGCAGAAGCCTTTGCACCTGCAGGGCTTTAGTCAGCAGCCTCAAGCCAACCATTCCTAACTCTCTCTCTCTCTCTCTCTCTCTCTGCACCTTGCAGACTTCCCTTTGAGCCCCAAGCTGCCTTAATATGGGCTTAATAGGGCCTATCCACTGGCCCTCAACATCCATCTACTCAAATAGGACATCTCGCTCCTTTGCTCTTTTCCAGCATAGTAAAATGGCCCTGCCTTCACCAGGGCTCATGCCAGAGCCTCCAGGTCATATTCAACATCCCTGCTGCATTGTTCCCATCCATCATTGTTCTCAACCTCTCCACTCCATGCACTTCTTTCTCAGCTGCAGCTAGACAAGGCTTCAGTATCTCTCATCCAAGCCACCACCAGCTCCTACATTGCCTCTGCCACCCTCCTTAGCCACCCCTAACCACGACAGGAGAAGCATCCTTTTTAAACACAGAATTGTTTTGGAAGTCCCCTGGTGGACTTCCCTGCTGTCACTATCCTCACTTGTCACTCATTCTCCTGCACACCCTGCCTAGACCAATGGCTGCCTTCCAGTCTTCACTCAGCCAAGTTCTCACCTACTCACTCTCCCTGCCTGCACCTTCTAAGCCTAACGTA